GATACAACAATTCACAGATTGTGGCATCGATGTGCCTTCAATTCTCCGACATTTTACACCTAGTGGCAGCGTAACTTTGGATTACAAACCATTCAACAAGATACTCAGTGAAAACTCACCCCGTCCGCCACTCCACGCTCCTACCAGGATATTATTTATCCTCTTCTCGAAGTTGGTTCCTGTTTGCGTTGTGTTTTCCATGGCTTGAAATAGACCAAGAAGTAGACCATGAAATAGACCAAAAAGAAATAGACCAAGGAGAAATAGACCAAGAAAGAAGAGAGTGAGAAGTTACGTCGAAAAATAGATTGATAAAAACTAGTAGTTACACAACTTGACCACTCATGTGTTGTGATACCTTAGCATCAGGAGATTCCTGGTCTTTTTTCATACTAATATTATATACAGATAGATACTACAATAATAATTACAATAATAATTAAAATAACATATAGTCATTTAATATACACAGTGAAAGTCGACGGATTCCTCATTATTAATATATTAATATAGCCAATACTAATACACTATCATATTAATATATACAAACGCATATTAATAAATACAATTTAAGGATTGTACTAATTTTTAGAACAAATAAGTGATTGTACAGTCAACTTCCCTTAATTCGTCCCCCTTTAATTCGGATTTCCGATAATCCGGACGTTTAACGCCGGACTCTTTTTTTCATATCTGATTCCTTCCTTTTATTCGTCCGATACTTATGATATTACGATAATTCGGTTCGGACAGCTGTCACGGATCAACTGTATAAATTAAGTACTGTAAAAGACAGCTTTAATTCGGCCATTGACTATCATTCCTATGTATGGTAAACTAGAATTCCTAATACGGTAAGATTATTCCAACGTTAATTCGGACGCTTATTCAAATTCACTCCCTTTAATTCGGACTCTTAATAAAATCCAACCGTTCAAATTACAAACGAGTTTGATGGATTATCACAAAAGTGATACCGCTAAAAAACGTTCCAAACCATATACTCATTTAACTGCCATACAAAAGAAGGAAATATGTCAACGTCAAAGAGATAATCCTAATATATCCTATCGTAATCTGGCAAACGAGTATGGAGTAGGAAAATCAACAATACAAGATATTATTTTTCAGTCAAAAAACTGCTTACCTCTTTTGTGCGACCCTAAATCGATTATTCGTCCAACCACGTTAATTCGTCCAAAA